AGATGAACTAGGTTATCTCATAAAGAGAGAAGAGTTCGATGTAGCATTAAACAACTGAAATAATAATAGGGCACCAGGTATCGATGTGATACAGGTGGAAATTTTAAACCATGCAGTACAAGAGGTTAAATATCGTATTTAAGCTAGTCACATTTACGAGACGGCGAAACTCCTAGATTATAAACAGAACGTGGTAGTAACCATCACTAAAAAGAGAGGCATCCGCGGTAGGTGCTAGACAGAAAAATTAGCTTAACTTCCCATGCGTCAAAAATCTAGAATTATTGAGGGATAAATAACGAACGATTTAAAATTTTGTAGTATATTTTTTTATGAAGAAGCCTTGATTTTCTGTTACAGCCTGGAAATAAAGTTATGATTCAGCCATCTGTTCCCGAAGAAGAACTTTACAAGTTATTTCCAACAACAGAAATTACAGCTCTCCCCTCTGGTAAAAGGTATCTTCGAAATGTTCAAATATCTTAATCAATAGTGATATAGTAATTAGGATTGAAAAGTCACTTTTTATGGCACTCTGTAATTGTTTATTAATAAAAAGAAAATAAACATTTTGTTAATAAAAACTAGAGTTCGTCTTTAAAGTTATGAATATTATGCAAATGTTCGCCATAATCTGTAGCTTCACTCCCCACGAAAATATCATGGTGATTCAAAATTTCTTCAAACGTGAGTAAGTCATCATGGTTATCGTCACTGGCAGCAAAAAGATGAATCACTTCCTCTTCTGCTATTTCGCTGTAATTAAAAAAAAAACCTTATCATTATGTAAGACTAAGCGACCATTGTGACTGACATAAGTATTTCTTTGAATATGCCTTAATCTTTTACACTAGGTGACTTACAATTTATGCCAGAAAATATTGAATATATGTGAAGAGGGTTACGCTCGTTGCACATTACACGTTTTCGCCCGCACGATATAAAAGTCGTACGAGTTTATATCGTGGTGTAGTTGCTTTCCCACTGTACGATTTTAAACTACGTATCACACGATTTGTAACCGTACAAAAACATTATTCAGATACATACGCTCGTTGTCACCATTTCTGAGGAAAGTATTGTACAGTGACTATGAATCGGGGTCAAATCATAGCTTGGTTATTGTATCGGTATTCATTGGGCTATGCTATTAATCAGAAACTTGAGGAAATTCTACACCTTGTTTGAAGACCTGAGAAATGATTAACGGAAGTTTTTCAAATACTTTCGTGTGTCAGCTGACTCCTTTGACGAACTGCACGGCAAACTGCAGAATGTCCATCAACGGCAAAACACACAATTTAGAAATTGTATACAACTTATTGAAATGTTAGCTATATAACTTTAAGGTAATAAGTGTCTTTAACACCGACTGTTTTTACTTTCCTTGCAGAGGGAGGTATTGTAATCTTAAAAAAAGTCATCCTCCGAGATTATTGCTTATTTTCAATTTGTAGAATCTCTAAACCACGAAATATATATTTGTTTTTCCAATACCGTCGTTCAGTTTGATGGTCTGCCCGTCTGTCTGCTGGAAATTGCTGAAAAGCTATTTTTTGAACGCATATTAAACCGCAAAAAGAAAATAAAAGTGTCCTTGCTGTAACCGTATAATGTGAAAGACCTCCTAATCATAGCACTCCTAACACTAAAAAATTAATTGGACCCCTTTCTATCAATGAATTAAAATCCTCAGAACTCTATCATAAAAACTATTCAGTCCTATAATTTTACAAAACACCTTCACCAGATGAAATTGGGATCAAGAAAAGAACATATTAGATTGGGGTATGCAGGTACTCAATCCGTTTCCTCAAAATTACGTCTCAGGTATTGACCATAGAATGGCGTGAGAGAAATAAAAAAAATATGCAGTCAGTCAGAACAAATGGAAACTCAGAATTCGCCAATAGATCGTGGCCGATCAGTTCCAGTAGTTCCATTTTCCATATCCGAGGTGAATTTTGGGAGCCCCTATTTGGAAAAATCGTCAAATTTATGTGTGTTTGGCAACTAAGGCCATACACATAGAGTTAGTGTAGCATCTCTACTCAAGAATTTTTTCGTTAAAACGGTTTATTGCCCAACGAGGGAACCCGTAACATCATGATTTTTTTAGGAGCTAGTAATTACCTTAAAGAGTTTTACATAATGCTAAAGTCTACCTCAATCGCCAAACTGGGATGGACTTTGGGAGGCAGCTATTAAAAGCACGAAATATCACCTGAAACGGATAGTTGAAGACAAACATTTCACATTTGAAGAGTTATACACTATTTTAACTCAAGTTGAAGCTGTATTAAACTCAAGACCGCTACAGCCTATATCTTCCGACCCATCTGATCTATCTTGTTTAACTCTCCACAACACTTTCTCATAGGGACCTCACTGACCTCTTACCCTGAACCAGATCTCTCAGATACTTCTGAAAACAGATTAGATAGATGTGTACTAAGGGACAACAATAGTTTTGATCTAGATCATCAAAAGAGTGTGTAAACCTCCCTAAATCATTGCCCAAAATGGTTGTTAATTTTTTCTAGCTTTAAGATAAATGACACTGTTATCCTAAAGGAAGAGAACGCTAGACCTTTACAATGGTCAGTGGCCAGAGCTTTTGAACTCATACCTGGAAAAGATGGCAATGTAGGAGTATGAAGGTCAAAAGGGCATTCTAACAAGAAACGTGACCAAATTGTGTTCCTTGCCATCTTGAAGCTTTCTTTTCAAATAACTATAATTGTCCAAGTTTTTGTCTTTTCGTTAGTGTAAAGTTTATATTAATTATTTTCTAGTTCAGTTTTCACGTTTACTTTTAGATATTAAATATTCAAATGTATGACGTGTGTTCTGATGCTTTACTATGTTAAAGTTAGAACCTTTAAGGCGGGAATTATATTCCAAAATGATTTGAATTCGAGTTTAATGTTAAAAAATATATAACGCCGAATAATTATTTCTGGTTGTAACTATTTTTTTAGTCGGCTATGTGTTCGAGGAACCGGCATCCTTTCAAGTTTGAGTTGGCCNAATTTTACCGAGGCAGTTTAATAAATTTTGCAAATGGTACTGTACACTTTCGTCTAGTTCTCGCTCGATGATCGGTGGAGAAATGAGCTCCGCAGACAAATATGATTGAATTTGGAATTATGCTACGGCGCATCCTAATAAAGGGAAGGGGCATATCTCCAAGTCTCTAACTTGTTGAAACGAACAGTACACTTGCTTGTCTGCTTGTCTCACTGTTGCCGTGCACGGCTACGGCGCCGTGCCGTTGCAGTCCCCATGCCGTGCTGCGACGGCAGCCGTGTACGACCGTATATCCATTAAATAGATAAATAATGTAATTTAATATTGCATATATAAGATTTATTTAACAATTTGAAAAATTAAAATATTTAATTGGACATGTTAGAATCCGTTGGATCGTGCCAAGTTTGGATTCAATCATATATCGTTGGATCCTTTAAGTACATTAGTCAAAATTGTTTCTAGTTCTCAACTCTCTTGTAATATATTTAACGGTTTTCTGTGAAAGATTATAGTTTATACCAATTATTCTTATTTTTATCCTCATTTCATTCAGCTTGTCTAGCTTTTTCGGTTTTATTTTCATTGCATTGGAGCATTGTTTGTGTCGCCTTTCATGTTTACATTATTTGTTATCTGTGTGTACGATCTAATATTCATGTTATTTTATTCGTTTTTTAAATTTTCTTTTTTTTCTATCAATAGCAAACTCTTATCTTTCATTTCTTGCATTACAGTTGTTTTAAGAAGTCACTTAAATTATCAAGCATAGTAATATTATTTAGGTCATTCGATTTTTTATCGCATGTAATTGACGTCTTACAAAAATTTCCATTTATTTCAAAAACACCTTGTATAAAAAATCGCTTTTCGCATGACATGGAAAATTTATATGTTATACATATTGTTAGCAGGTGTGCCAATGCGAATAATTTGTACGGATTTTTTTTTAATTCTTCAACAGAATAGGGGTTATCTAATGCTTTTGTTATAACTGTTGTACGCTATTTTATTAATTTTTGTTGTTTACGATCATCATAAATTTATGCGGCACACAAATTAAGATAAACCAACAATGTAGGTATCAACAGGATGGGACAATTTCGACGTTTATGTTTGACAACTCGATATAACTATGCTCGCGAATTGGTACTTTAGAAATTCGATAAACATTGTCAAAAATGCAGCGGAAAAGAATACGTTAGAAGCGTTCGAAATGTGGTTTTATCTGCGAATGATGAGGATACCGTGGATAGAGAAGATTAGAAATGAAGAGGTATTAGAAAGAATAGGAGAACAGAGGACATATAGAATTCAATAAAAATAGGCGAGATAGGACACCTTCTCAGGCATAAAGGTCTAGTCAGGGACATATTAGGGGCAGAAACAGGAGAGTAGAGGCAGACCTAGATTAGATTAGTGTTCGCAAATAGTTAAGGATGTGGGATGTTCTAGTTTTATGGAAATGCGAAGATTAACTCAGGGTAGGAAGGAATGGAAGTGCGTATCCAACCAGACTTAGGACTGACCACCTTATGATGATGTAAGTTTTACAAAAGAAAAGTGAAAATANTTGTTGTTTATGATCATCATAAATTTATGCGGCACACAAATTAAGATAAACCAACAATGTAGGTATCAACAGGATGGGAAAATTTCGACGTTTATGTTTGACAACTCGATATAACTATGCTCGCGAATTGGTACTTTAGAAATTCGATAAACATTGTTAAAAATGCAGCGGAAAAGAATACGTTAGAAGCGTTCGAAATGTGGTTTTATCTGCGAATGATGAGGATACCGTGGATAGAGAAGATTAGAAATGAAGAGGTATTAGAAAGAATAGGAGAACAGAGGACATATAGAATTCAATAAAAATAGGCGAGATAGGACACCTTCTCAGGCATAAAGGTCTAGTCAGGGACATATTAGGGACAGAAACAGGAGAGTAGAGGCAGACCTAGATTAGATTACTGTTCGCAAATAGTTAAGGATGTGGGATGTTCTAGTTTTATGGAAATGTGAAGATTAACTCAGGGTAGGAAGGAATGGAAGTGTGTATCCAACCAGACTTAGGACTGACCACCTTATGATGATGTAAGTTTTACAAAAGAAAAGTGAAAATAGCAAAGGTTGTTTAAATCGTACAGATATATGTGTGTTTAATTTCAGTTTACAAATAATGACCAAAGTAAACAAAAATATTCAACGAAATCATACTTTCTGATATGTCAAACATAACAGAATGTTTATAAAAATAAAGGTTGACAGTTTTCGTACAATTTGCTGGCCGATTCAGACAGATTTCATCGCAAACAATTTTTTTGGAATTTCATAGACCTTTTCTTTACAATTTCCTTTTCTCTCTGTGACGCAATGGCCGATGACAAAAGCCAACTTAATTTACATAATCATTCATCACTCATCCGTAGATTACCAGCTGTAAAGTTTGTCAGGTGTATATACATGTTAGGTTAAGTGGTCAATCGCAACATATCTCAATAGTTATCTAGAAAGAAGACTTCATAAATCAATTTTTACGAAAATAAAAGAAGACTTAAAAATCATGGTAGCAATAGCCGAACAAAAAGCCAGTATCTAATAGTAATTAATATAAGTCAATTACAGTGAATATTCAAATTAGTTGTCGTTATTGGGATCCGTCAAATGGAAGGGACTTAAATGATATGGCTAATTCAAGAGATAGTTTTAAACATGACGTTTTGTGTGCAATTGTATGTTTTTTAAATTGTAATTTGTAATTGCGCTGGTACGAATCCTAAACAAAGCCGGTCACACCATAAAAAATGTGGTAAAAATGAAATTGAAAATAAGCGGGAAAATAGGGTTAGTTTTACGGCGTATTGCCTCGAAAAATCTCAGTTGAAAGAAGCCCCTCATGAAATTAATTGCATGATTAAACTGTTCACATATCATTGCAACATTTTTATATTGTAATAGGTAAGTTTTTAATCTTATAATATTCATATACCTATCGTTAATTTTTCTAGTTATTAGTAATTTAATTAACTATTATCTAAAATTATCTTTTTAACTAAGGCATAGCCAACTATGGTTCCTTTAAAAAAAAATACAAGTTTATGTCAACTCGAAAGGGAGTGATTCTTTTTCCAACACCGCTGTTTTCTATGTAAAAAAAGTGTTTGAAGAACGTAAAAGTTATTTTATTCTAATGTTATATGTAGCCAAGATATAGAAATGTAGTCAAAACTCGAAATTTTCAACTTTTATTTATAACTCGAAAACAAAAGACGATAGCAAGTTTTTGAAAACACCAAAAAATTTGTCTTAAGAAAAGAGATGGAGAAGCCGCCACTATTTTTTTTGTATCGCTTATAGTTACCGATTGTCCTACACAAACGTCGACATTTATGAGGGTCGTGAGTGTCGACGAAAGAATCATATAATCACTGTAAAAGATGAAATCCTTGATTTGATATAAGGTAATCCCCAAAGTAGTACACACGAAATAGAGCGGAAACGAACACCCTGTATATCTATAATTTTGACAAATTTTATTTAATCTCCACATGAGCAATCTGTTGTAAGTAAAGTGAAGCGTTTAGTGTCTATAATCAACACATTTCTGAAACTATTTATTGTTGCTTTCATTAAATCATATTGTTTATATTTGTATGTGGAACGTGCACCTTAAATTATAATGAAGTAGTTTTATTTAATTTTTACTGTTGGGAACGCCGAAATTTTTTGAAATAGAAATAAAAATATTTATGGACGAGAAGATAAGTTTAAAAATACATCTTATTTAATATTGTTTTTACTTACTCGTTATTGGGAACTATCCATGAAATAATTTCGTTTCCTGACAGTTTACCGTCGGCATTCTTATCGTATTCAAGGTCAAATTTATCTTTTTCAGAGAGAAGCCACTCCTTACTTCTCTCTTGGCCTTGAGTGCCAATAAATTCTTGAAAATCTATTGATCCGTCTCCGTTTTTATCTTTGTTACTAAGAGTTTGTTCTAGAATGTGAGGAATCATGGCAGGGTGTTCTTCAGGATGTAAAAATGCTAGCCATTCTTCATTTTCCAAAAAGTTGTTCTTATCAAAATCGGCTACTTCCCACACCCTTTTATCATCTTCTAATAGCTTAAAAAACATGTTATTGTAGGTACAAATTTTTCTATCAACAAATTAATCAATAAAAATAAAAAATAAGCCATTATAGACAACATAAAACGGCCAAATTTAATTTCTCAGTACATAGGCTAATTAGTTTTCCACTAAATAAAGATAGGTACCACAAGGGACATTGCAGACTTAAAAATACTGCCAAAACCAATGGCTACAGTTGTAATGTTATTGATAAAATATTTAATAATACAAAATTTAAGAATCTCATTTTAAAAAGCTCAACTTTAAAAAAAAAACTAGGTATTATATGCCGTATTATTACAAAGTGAAATACTAAATACTTGTGTTGTAATTCGATTATATACTTCATGGTGGCGACATTTTTTATTTAGAGTAGTAGTTACTAATATGCCCATGGTCTATCGTTACCGCGCGTATCCCTTCCCGAGTTAGTTCCGTGCTGACACTCGTGTGGAATCAACACCTACCCACATAGACCATCAAGGCCTCGGTGCTTTGGCGTGACGTCAAAGACAATGACGATCAGTATCAACTGAAGAGGCGCTCCATCAATGCGAATGCTCTTTTATTAAAAGCATGATTTAAATCACTTTACGGTTTCTAAGGGTTTCCAGTAGAAACGGGGCTGCTAGACTGAACTGAACTGAACCCTTAGTCGCACCCCATTTGATTTTTTTGCCAAAAAAACAAAGTTTCAAAAATAAAAACGTCTATCTATATAAAAGCGCTAAATGTTGATTTTTCGCTCTTATTTTTCAAGAATGCCATCAATTTTTATGAACAAATTTTTTTCACTACAAAAAGTACCAGAAAATTGTGAACTTATTAATTATACTCAAAACTATATGTAACTTCAAATTGTTTATGATGTAAGAGTATCTAATTTTCTCTTATGCCCTTTTACAAGCCTGTCATTCTTTTTTCCACAGTGGTTCTTTAAACGCGTATTTATTACAGACCGTATGACTATTTTCACAATAAATTCCGAATTATGAACTTTACATTCTGAGAAATTCAATAAATTATTTTGAAAAATATTCTAATGCTACTGCTGATAGATTTTTTTGTTGTGAATATTTAAGAAATTTACCTCATTGGCCCCTGTAAAATTTTATTGAATATTAAATACACATACAAAACTATATTTGTGACTTTGTCTTTAGGAAATTTAAGACTTCCTCTGCTCAAATTTCTTATCAGAGTATGTTTATCTTCAACTATAAGATCGTCTGTATGTGTTATGTCTAACTTACACGTGTCACATCGAACTTTTTTTAATACAGTATGACAGCAGTAACCTTCTAAGTATGTAATTATTGGCATTTCTGGCACTAAATTTTCAATTTCAAATTCAGTAAAGTCACATATGGGAGTGAACCAATCCAATTTACTAACAACAGTTGTATCCTCAATTGACGAAATATGAAAATGATTCAATTGGCAAAGTTCCATAACAATTAGATTTTAAAGACATTAGGGATTGTATTGCTAATTGTCTATTTTCAAGGTCTGTCTGAAATTTTCCCAGTAAAATATAATTCGTATTTAATTCTTTAAAACAGTATTTAATAATGTAAAGCTGTAAATGTTTGTGAACTTAAACCTTTCAGAAACCTATCAGACCTTTTCCAAAGTTTTAACTAATTTAACATACTTTGTAAAAAAAAACTATTTTTGGATCATCACCATCAGCATGACAAGTGATAGGTTCTTCGAATATATCTTTTAAACATTTCCCTTTTAACGGTGTTTTTACGTTAACGATCTTCCACCAATTTAATATAATATTAATGAAATTAGCTGTATCTTTCAAGTAATTGATTTCATTGCCAGACTTTAAAAGAGCCTGAATAACAAACGGATGAAAAATTTTTAAGGCTAGCTGAACATTTTGTTTTTTGAAATTAGTTAAAAAAGGGCTTTTAAAGTTAAACCATAACCACACTTGAGTAATTTATTGTTTTCTACATTATAAAGGGCAATTAACGATTGAAACGAGGCACATCTAAGCTCGAAAGTTTCAAAATCAGGTTTTGAATTTAACCAGTTATTTTTGATACATTTTAATAAGTGCACTTAGTCAAACAAATAAAATAAAGGCCGACTTATACTTGTAGGATGAGGGTAAACTATACTTAATTTTTTAGTGGGTGAAAAGTTACACATGGCTTTACTATTTACAGCCTTATTGTCACTTATGACACAAAAAATTTTATATCCAATTTCTTCGAGACCTACAATTAAGGATTTTATAACATTGTAAAGAGTTTCATGACTAATTTTTGTTACTGGTTAAACAGGTACTACTTCTTTAAAATTTGAAAGCATGCTACTAATCATAAAAGTAAAAGTACTATTATTGACTGCTGTGCCTACAATGTTTCCACCTTTATAATCAAGATAAGGTTCTATATATATTTCTCGTTGTCTTTTATATACTTAAATTTTTTTTTTCACAAACTAGAAAAGATTGTCTTTCTTCTATAATGGGGTCAGTAAAAAAAGAGTTACATATAGTTTTCAAAGTATCCAGATGAGGCAATATTAAAATTCCAAAACTTCTTAAGAACGTATAACCATGTGCACTAATTGTATTTACATTTACAATTGTATTACAGTATCTGGTGAGTAACGGTACCTTTCTTTTGATGTAAATAATAATTTTAGCTCTTCACTTACAAAGGATAGCTGTTTACTAGATGAATTATTTTCTGTCGATTTTAAACCCTGCAGTATGTTACAAATCTGATTAATAATATTTCTAAAACTCTCATTTTGTTCTGGTTTTTGAGGTACTGTACTATTTTCAGATACTACTAATTTGTCAACTTCATTACATAAATCAGAAAGATCATTAATATCAGTTAAGATAAATGGAGTTTTAAATTTGTTGCTCTGCAAAATAATTTGTTGTCCATATATGTGACTTTCTATTTTAAGATGTGTACGAATTATTAAAGAATAAGTTATAATGGGACCCGGTGCATTTTTAATCTGAAATAAAATTAATTCATTTTGATCGTTTACTAACTTGGTGCCATTTTTCAGGAAGCGTTCATTTGTTAAAAACATTTATGAATTCATCAAAATTTTGAAAAGTAACACGCTCTTTATAAGCCTGATATTCTATGATACTTTCATTTAATGCTCTATATACATTTTGTTGCTCTATTAAAATAATTTTTTCGTCTCTACTTTTCCTCATTGCCAACTTATTTTTTGAAAGGTATATAAGGCAATTTGGAAAAATAGTTGGAATGGAACCTAATTCGAGCTTTGGATATTTTAAAGGTATCTCCAGTGTTTCCCCCGATTTTTCATTGTAATTTTTCGTTATTCTAATTATACTTTACTGTTCAAAATGACGTTCACACATTCTGGTATTTTTTGTAAGTTGCAAATTATCCCGTGGAATTGCTCGCAACCACTTTTTTAACAAGCTACCATCTTTGGGAAAAGTAAACACATGTACCAGATTTTCGGTAGTGTAATTTCCTTTACAACCCGGAACGCAACACTTATTAGGCATTTTTGCAAAAAGAGGCTCTAATATATATTCACATAAACTTAACAAAAATGTAAAATAAAAAAGTTGCGCCAAAATACGTTCCCACAATGGCGTTACAAAGCACATTCCAATTCGGTATACACAATGATGCTATTGTAATTTTACCCGTTTACATGTTCGAATATAGGTAAAACGCTCGAACAATTTTCCCAATACAATTTGTATAAGCTATGATTGATGTACAGGTCAGGTAAAACCCAATTAAATAAGCTAATAACTGGGAGAAACCTTTAGCTAATGAATGCATACAAAATGAGTGCAATCAACTGATTAACCGCCTTCTTATGATGATTAATTAGCCCGTTGACATCAGGACGCCCTGCCCTGGCCTTGATGGTCAAGGTGGTATTGGTAGAATGCATCGTATTGCAAATAAACTTTTTCTAAAGCAATCGTATCTCTCTCATTGCGGGATAACACCCGCTGTCGCTCTTCCACTATGTAATTATATTTCATCAACTTGAATAATCGTAATTGTATTTGGACATATCTTAAGGTGAACCATTTTTAATAGCAAGAAATTAAACTTTGTTAGACATTTCTATTCAGTAGTTGGCCACCGGCTAATAACTATATTTCAAGATGACCAATAACTGAAGAGAATAAAATCCTGCATAAGGCTATTCCATTTGAAGAAATGGACTTACGATTGTTTGAAATTAGCCAAATCCGCCATTAAATATCGAACGCCCTGTATGTAATTAATACACTTTGAAAGTACGGTCGAGAAGTTATACGTTGATGCCGTTATTTTAATTGAGGTTGAGCATACCCAATAACGCTACTGTCCAAATCTTCAAAATTCAAATCGAAGTAATTTCTGAAATATTCTAATGGGTGGTCACCGTGAGACACACTGTATACTACTTTAGATGAATAGCAGTTGAATGACTGGATTAAAACTTGTCAAATCGAAGTAATTTCTGAAATATTCTAATGGGTGGTCACCGTGAGACACACTGTATACTACTTTAGAAGAATAGCAGTTGAATGACTGGATTAAAACTTGTCAGGAGAAGGGTTGTCCTCTTAGAATTGAGGATATACAAGATTCAGTAAAGGGCTTCTTAGATACTGAACCCTGCGAAAATCAATTTATTGACAATAGGCCTAGAAGTGGTTGGTACAGAGCTTTTCTAAAACGAAACCTGGATATAACTCTTAGAACCCCAGAAGCGATTACTGCAGAAAGTTCAAATATCTCAGAATATGATATTCGGTTTTATGAAGTAGAGGATTACTTAATTCGGAAGGGGTACAATGGCGTTTTGCAAGATCCTACACGTATTTATAATAGTGATGAGACATTTGTAACCAAAAATAAAAGGGTTTTATCGGTGAAGGGAAACAAAAATATTTACGCGATAGAATACTACTCAAAAATCTCATGGTGATGTTTAATTTTGCTGCACCCCCAGATATACCT